TCTGGGAAGAGCTTCAAGAGGATGTGGGGGGAGGCCCTGTGCACGCACCAAGACCTTGCTGGCTTCCAGAACTCCCCTGTGACTTCAGGACAGACTGGATCTGCCTGGATCTATTTGCAAGGACCTTGGGTTGAACACTAGGCCTTGGTGCCCTTTGAGTCTAGGGGTAGTAGGTCTTTGGTTGTTTTTGTATTTGTTTGATTCCCTATCATGTCTGTGTTCCTTTTCATTTCCATTAAATGCTGAAGAACTAAAGGGTAATGATTGATGTTTTTCCCTGCTAAGTGAATGAACAGGACAGCTTCTTCCTCATGGCATTTAAGAGCCATAGGATCTGAACCCGCTGAACTCCAGAATCAGTTCCCTCTCTCCAATTCAAGCCGTGTGCCCTGGGCAGGCACTGTCTGACGTCTCATTTCTGACTGGACTCCCTTTGGGCCTGCAGCCCTTGCCTCTGCGTATGATGGCCCCTGGCATCCCATCATGCACCCGGGTTCCATGTCTGCTCATTCTTGAGGCCCAGGCCCAGGATCATACCTCCTGGGAAAGCCCTCCTGGCTTTTGTGCCCTCACATTGTTAGAAATGTTAGCTAGAAAGATAGACATGAGCAGCTGGGAAAGGGGAAGGCAAGGTTCAAGGAAAAGAACACCCAAACTCTGCCCAGGCAGGGGTCCCAGGTGAAGACAACAAAGGCTTTGCAGGGAGATAGCTTCCTTGCCTATCAGGACCAGGCCAAACCAGTCCCAGCCAGATCCTAACATGGCCACAATCGAACAAAATTAAGAACTGTCCAAACTACACCCCATCTTGGAAAGGACATGTGAACTGAGAGGGATGCTACAAAGAGGACCTGTCAATCAGATGACCCCACCTTGTCAAAGACACACCTCCTCACCAGAAAGTAATGTACAGGCCTCCTGCCTAAGGATAGGGGGCCTTTGTCTGCCTTGACTCTGGCCTGCTCCTCCCTTGGAGGGGATTCAAATAAAACTTTGACTGCTTCACTATTGTGTTTCTGCCTTTCCATTCTTTGTTTTTGGTGGGGACAAGAAATGAGGAGAAGAACTCAGCCTAGTAACAGTATCTTCTCAGAGATCTGAACTGGAAGCCCCAGAGCATTTAAGGGTCTGACAACTCATGGGAACTTCACTGTTAATTGCTGTGCATGAACATGTGGGTTTCCCAACCTGATCTGTCAGCTTTCAAATGGTGGGAACTTTGTATTTCCTGTCTTCTCAGAGACAATTAGAATAGGACAGGCTGCAGGAATGGTTATCAACTAACATGACTTAGCAGTGGGCAGTTTTTTTTTTTTTTTTTGTTCTGTTGACTTTTTTCCCCCTTCAGAATAAGCATTCTCCTTTGGGAGAATCAAATATGAAATCCAAGCCTTCGACTTTGGGGGCATTGGGCAGGCATTTTGCTACATTCTGATCTGTAGGCAAGGGTGTGTCCAACCCTCTGGGAAGATCCCCACCTGCCCCTTCTTGCCAGCCCCTGTTGGCGGCCCCCACTCTGGGGACTCTTCCATATGTCCAAACACAACCTCTACCTTGGAGGGCCCAGTGTGCAGCCTGCTGCATACTCAGTTCTAGGGGTGGGTGGAGAAGACAGAGACCCTGCCTTTGGAACCATGGCATATGGCTTCCATCCTGAGGACAGTGATGGGGGGCTCGGAGGTTTGGCAGGCAGGGAGGCCTGCTATGCCATTCCAGACGTGGGACAGGAGCAAAGCTAGGTCAGGCCTGTTTCTTTTTGCTGCTACCACAGTTCCTTTTGATCTCTTCTCTCTGGACCTGTTTTCTCCTCTGCCCAATGGGCATAACCAACTGCTCATTGACTTACAGAATTATGAGATGATGCCCTGAGATAATGTGAGGGGAAATATACTTCTGAGGTTGAGGGTGGCATCTGAGGGAGGAGGAAGCCCTCTCTTTGCCCTCTGTTTGGAGTGAGTGCTGCCCCACTCAAATTAAACTTCATTCGGCACTAGTTTTACCATTCTCTTTCACAGATTGCTTGATGAGTGAGTTGTACTCTTTTAAAGCTTCTTAAAAAAATCATGGGGTAGTTGTATGGCTAATGCATTGCTGTGCCAGATCATCCTGGTGGGCCCCTTCCCTGAATGTGCATGTGCTGGGGGAAGTCACACCACAGGGGCTTCTCCTGGCCGAAAAGGAACCTGGAGATAGATAGTTGAGATACATCAGTCAGGAGGTTTGTGGCTCTCAGCCCATCACTTTTAAAATTAGCTATGAATAAGGCAGAACTTGGAGGGAGGTACCCTAGAGGACTTAGAAGTCTAAATAAGCCAGGGCAAGGTGTAATTTGGGAGTATGTGCTTGTTCTTAAACATAGCTTTGCACTCAGAGCTGCTTTCCCCAGCTGTGGGACAAAAGGCTGTCCTCAGCCTGGAGGGCAGGTAGGGGACCCAGAGAAAGGGCCTGCATTGAGAATCAAGTCCTTTTGGAATCACATCAAATGTGTCTTTGGATAATGGAATTTGAGGCCCAGTCCTGCTCTTCCCTGGGATTCTTTAAGATCAGAGTATGAGGTTTGGAACCTTGACTGCTTTTGCTGGTTTGATTGATTAATTAATTAAGTGGTGTGGCCTGCAGACACTTATAATTTTAATTAGTTGCTGAGATTTAAAAAGTCAGAGACTTCAGAAGGTCTGTCCACATTAGGCCCATATTTCTGGGGCTGAACAGAGAGAGCATCATGCACTTCCACTTACCCTGCTGCCCAGCTGCCTTTTCACTTTAGGCCAGCTGCTGGGGCCTCTGAGTAGTTGGGGTTGGTGGTGGGTCTCTGTGGGTACTCTTACATGGGCAGGCTGTAAGTATTATGCGTATCTCAAACTAAAGTCTTAGCTCATCACAGCCAGCTTCCTGAACCCAAAGCAGTCATTTCCAGCCCATGGCAAGCTCCCACAGTTTTTTTATGATTTCCAAGTATGGGTGTTAGGGACTGAACTTCATGTGCCTTCCAAATTCATATGTTAAAATCCTAACTCCCATTGTGATAGTGTTAGGCGGTGGGGCCTTTGGGAGGTGATTAGATCTTGAAGGTGGGTCCTCATGAATAGATTAGTGCTCTTATAAAAATGACCCCAGAGTGCTTTCTGGCCCCTTCTGCCATGTGAGGACACAGCGAGATGTCTATTCACCATACACTGAATCTGCTGGCACTTTGATCTTGGACTTCTATCTCCCAGAACTGTGACAAATAAATATTTTGCTCTTTAAGCCATCCAGTTAATAGTATTCTTATAACAGTGGCCTGAAAAGACTAGGATACTGGGTATTATTGAGCAGTCAGTGGGCTTGGGCTGTGCTTGGCTGGATCAAGGTAGCAGTAAGTAAGTAAGTGGGCTCAGCTTTGAAAGGTGGTTTGGATGGTGAGGTGAGGGCTAGATGTATAGATCAGTCTTGAGCTGGGAGTCTACAGGGAGATATGGTGAACTTAAAGCATGTTCCATATTTGAAACCTCATTTGGCTTTTCAGATATAAATTCTCTAGAAATTTTGCCCTAGAGGGGGAAAAAAATCCCTTTCTCTCCCCCAAGCATAAGAAACTTGGGAGGAATGAAAATACATGTAATCCTATTCTTAACATATTTTTTCAATAATACTGTCATTTAAAAAATTTATGAGTGTAAACACATTAATTATAAATTATTGATAATATATGCATAGAGATGTGAAAACAGAACAAAGTCATCTGCCTTCAGTAGAAAATGATGAGATCTTTATTTAAAAGGCCATATCTTTTCTAGAACATAGCACATCCATTTTAGAAAGTCCAGATCCAGACCAGAGTAACTCCTAAGGTCCTGCCCCTTTAAAGCTCTCTGAAAATGCATCTCCTTGTTTTCCATCTAGTAAAATGGTTAAACAATTCTGTAAAACTCTATCTGTTCAATGGCTATGCTGTCTCTAGCTGTGCTCTAAGTAACATTGTACTAAGAATTGCATTTTTCTCTCTCCTGACTTAGATTTAAATCTTGCAATCACCACTGGGAAGTGAGTTGTATCATCTTGAGAAATTAGACCACAGAGCTGGGCCTGCAGCTAGCAGGCTGGGTCATCTTTAATCACTTAACCCTTTATATCAAAGGATGGGCTGTTGTAATATATTCTTCCTCAAGAATTTTCCATGGCAGATTTTCTCCAGGAAAATGTGAGAGTTAAAATAAAACAAAATGTGTACAGCAAAAACCTTACCTTGTTAATTGACTTTTGTACCTATACACATGATTGATTTTATGTGTATCCCCCATGTAACTTTCTCCTGTGGGCATGTGTCCATGCTGGGGCATGTGTGGCTGTGATGTGTAATATATATACATGGGCTTTAATATGAGAATGTGCAATGAGTCTTTATGTGCTCGTGTGGATGTGAGTGTGTAAATGTGTGGATATGTTGCATGTCTAAAGAAAATTCATCCTTGTCTCATAAAATGTGGTCCAGGCTATTTAAGGCTGGTAAAACATTGTTTGAAAACATGGCTTGAATAATTCCTTTCTTATATTTATAATCTTTCATTATAAATATAAATGCCTTCCTAATCTGACTCTTGGCTATATACTTTCCTTTAGCCAATGGAACATCACCAGATGTGACACAAACAAAGAACTGAAAGAAAAAAAATTGAAATTTTCTTCTCCTGCTGCTCTTGGGAACCCTCAACCAACCAGGCACGCCTGCTGGAGAGACAAGGCCCAGTGCCACCTGCCATCAAAACTGACAACCACCACCGACTGTCAGACATGTGAATGAGGCCATCTTGGACCAAGCAGCCCTCATCCAACCGTGAACTTTATGTAGCCACAGGAGTGAGCCCTGGGGAGACCAGCAGAAGAACCATTCTGCTGAGCCCAGCCCCGATTGCCCACCCACATTATCATGAATTAATATTAAATGATTGTTATTTTAAATCACTAAGCTTTTGGCAATGATTGTCATTCACAGAAAGAGCTAACTAACTGATCCAGTTGGTAATAGAGGGGAAAAGTCTCTCCCCTGAAGGAAGGGTTATTTGGCGAGAACTTGTGGGTGTAGGTAGATGTGTAATTCTATGTTTAAACATGCTTTATAATCCTGAGCTCACTTTATGACTTTAAAAACATAAAAATTAGCTCTTATTGGAGGACCTACCATTAATTCTCACACAGAAATGCATATTAACAATCAAGCATGGGCACAGGATGACAGTGCTGGCATGCTCGAAAATACTGAGGCCTTGGGAAGAAAGCCAAAGAAAAACTAGCTCAGCGAGGATGCTGCACCATAGCATCTGTGTTGAGGTTATGACTTGCTCTTTGGAAGTGAAAGGATTCACCTCAGCCCTATTCCCAGCCTGTGTCCATGAGGTGGGCATCACTTCAGCATCTTTTACCCAGGAGCTCACCCCAGGCGTCCTGGTTCCTTGATAAACAGTTCCTACAAAATGAGACTCAGTCAAACAAGATTCTCTACCTTGCCTGAGGCCTGACTTTTGGGAACCTGCCACCTCTTTGCATAAGTGTCTCTAGGTATGATTGTCCCTCTCAAGGGAGACCAAGTGCCCTTCCAGGGACAAGACCTTTGCCCGGCAGACCACAGCAGGATATCATGATATAATGATTAGCCTATTGTAGATGGCTCTACTTACATATAGAAACAAAGGTGGGTGAGAGAATTCTGTGTGTGTGTGTGTGTGTGTGTGTGTGTGTGTGTGCACGCACGTGTGTGAATGCAACGACATTGGTTCAGAAGTCAAGCACGTGATTTCTGCAGTTTTAGCTTCAGTTCTCCTTTACAAGAAATTCCTGCTTCTTGAGATTTGAGTAAGTTTAGGGCAGAATCTAATCTGCTGTTAATATTGGTACTTTGAATCTGACAGTTATTTTATTTCTAAGAATCCCCCTTTAAAATACAGGAATAGTCACAAACCCTTTTGTTACCAGTTACACCTTAACAGGAAATAGCAGAGTTGAGGCAGGGGGAGATTCTTTTTAGCTCTTGGGGAACTCTGATGGACATGTGGGCACCAATACTTACTATATTTCATACTTTAGGTTTTATCCAGGCCTGAACCTGCCCAGCCTTCTTGTAAATAATTATGTCTCACACACTTCTCAAAAACATGTGCTACATCGATTAGGTCAAAGGCTCAATATGACTTATCTCCCCATCGCCCTTTTTTAGGTAGGTTTAAGAACAGTATATGTAGGAGAGAAAAAAGGATTGGATTAATTATGTTATTAACACAAAAGAAACTGGCATTATTAAGTACTGGCTATTGCCAGGCCCTGTATAAAACCCTTTATCCACTGGTATGTATTATTACTGCTCCAACTAACCAAATGTGGAAACTGAGATCCTTATCTGGAAAGTTCAAGTATCTCATCTATGGCTGCTCGTATGTATTGGGACTAAAACTTGAATACAGCAGATCTACCTGACATCAAAGCACTGTTTATATTTAAATCTGAAATATTAAAATATTAAAAATATTTTTATTTAAATTCATGATGAAATATTTCAACCACACAGAAAACTTCAGAGAAGAACACAACAAACTACCCATGTGCCCATCACCCAATTTTATTAGATCTTAATATTGCACAATACTTGCTTTGTATTTTATGATTTTTTAAAAATGTGGGATATTTATCTCTTTAAAATTTATATGTAGAAATTCTTTGGGGAGTCTGGATATTAATTCTCTGGATTGCAACTATCTTTATGGTGACAAGCAGAAAATCTAATTTATTTAAATTTAATCAAATGTTTGTGGTTGAGCTTTTCAATCTTTTTAGAATTTTTGTTGTGGTATGTGATTGGTGAGTCTTATATTTGAAATATTTTCCTTTACTATCATGAAGATATCCTCTTCTTTTTCAATTTTTAGAGAGTTCCCTCCCATTTAGGTATCACATCTATGTGGAATTTAGTGTTTGTGAATGGAGTAAAGTAGAGATCTACTTTTGATTCTTCTCAAAGGGAGAATGACTTACCCCAGGACACTTCCCTCATGAGTCCAATCTTCACCCTTGTTCATAAAAAGAATCTACCTCTATGAAAGGAGTCTCTGAGCTCTGTGCTCTGTCTCATTGTTCTGTTGCCTATTGCTGTGCCAGCCCCACACTATTGCTTTATTATAAAACTTGATATGGGCAGGCCACATCTCTTCATGGTGTCCTTCCTTTTTTTCCTGAGATAATTTTGGCTTCTTATGCATATATTTTAGGATCACTTGTGTAGCTTCATAAAAAGCCTTGTCAGAATTTGGACTATAATTGCATTGAATTTATATATTAATTTGGGGGTGGACTTGCACATTTATGCAGTTGAGTCTTCCGAACCATGCAAATGGTATATCTTTCCATTTAATTAAGATTAAAAAAAATGATTCTCAGTAACATTTTGAACATTTTTCTCTATAAAGTTCCTACCGAGACTTTTAGTTTTATTTTTGGGAACTTTATAGTTTTTCTTGCTATTGTAGATGAGATATTTTTTCACATTATTTCTTCAATTTGGTGTCAAGGAACATTAATAGTTCTTTAAAGACTATCTTTTGTGCATAGGATTGCTTAACTTTCTTACTTGTTTTAATACTCAATCAATGCTATCAGATTTTCTATCTATACATATATATTATTGCAAATAAGTCTAGTTTTGAATCTTCCTTTCCAATTCTTATATCTTATTAGTTGGCTAGAAAAACTAGTAAAAATGTTTTTTTGTGTGCCTATTGAGAATATCATACGATTTTTCTCCTTTATCTTTGTTATAGGGCATCCTTACTTTTCTTTGATAACAGTATTTGGTTACACTTCAGAAATATACTCCTAAAATTTATTTGTTTGCATTTTAATTAGGATATTTATATCTGGGTTCACAAGAAGAGTTTTACTTTGGTTACTCATACTATCCTTTCCATATTTTGGTACCAATAGGTGGGATAGGAACTCTTTCTTATTTTCCCTTCTCTGAAATGTTTTATGCAAGATATGAATTATCTGCTCCATGTAGATTTGCTAAATTACCTTAAAAAATGTCTGCATCTGGTATATTTTGGGGAAGGAGATTTTGATAACTGATTTCACTTCTTCAATGGTTATTAATTTATTTGAGCTTTCTATTTCTTCTTGAGTCAACTTTGGTCATTCATCTTCTTCTAGGAACCTTCCCTTCTGTGGTTGCCTCCAACTGGATGCACTGTTGAGGTTCTTGCCCTGTATTGATACTAAGGCTCTCACATCTAGTCACAGAATCTGTGGTTGTCTTGCCTCATTTCCTGGCCATAAATCCATGCCTTTTTCCCCTTTAATTTCAGCGTCCGATATCTTCACAAATCTGTTGCCCTTGGCAGCAGGCTATCATTTTCCCCTGGCCTCCCTTCACTAACTTGGGAGCTCTGCCCAGCTCTGAATTCATGCTGTGATCCTAGCTGGTCTTCTGCCTAACTTGGGTCTCTTTTGAGTCTCCGTTAACCTGCAGATGCCAAACTCTAAGACTGCAACTCCTGATTCCAGTGCTGGGGGCCAGGCGACCCATGAGTCTACTCAATTCCTTGATTTCCTATTCATTTTTCTGGTCCACAGCAATTGTTATGTTGTTTTTGAGCTTGTCTGTGGTTTTATTGGTTTTCTCTTTTAAAATTTCAACTGTTTGTCGCAGAGAGGGTTGTTAAACTGGGAATGCATTGAGTCATTATGATTGGAAGTTTCCCGGGACCTGCTTTTAGCCACTTAAGACTATACCACTACCTCTTTCATTAATTGTACCTTTAGGCAATATCCAATCATCCATCCAAGAAATTGATGGCTTGTTCACAGTTTCCTGCTCCCTGGATGGAAGCCAGTTAAGTCCCTTTTGCTGAGATGACTCTTCTTCTTGCTGAGAACATAAATAGAAGAGAAGGTCATAAAATCATTCTGTGATGGTCTTTAGATCATGACTCCACTGGCCCCTCCTCCTTGCCCCTGACACCCTCTACTTTAGAGATGAGCATATAGAGGCCCAGGAGATAAAACTATTGAACCGAAGTTTCTCTAGCTAATGGAGGACATGGGACTAAAACACTGAGAAAACCTGATTTCAAATGTGTTTCCCACAAGATTAGTAGTTCTCAAGTTTGGTAACACATTAGTAATGCCTGGGTGTATTTTAAACATTCTTATGTCTAGCTTGAATTAGATGAATGGATTTAAATTTTAGTGGATGGGGTCCAGACATCTGTATTTTTTCTTAAGCTCACCAGGTGCTTGCAGAGGCACAGTGAGATTGAGGACCACTGCACTGGGTGGTGTTCTTTCTCTTGCTTAATTAAGCCCTCTTTACCCTCAGTGGCTTTCCTTCAAGGGAAATCTTTACCTTGCAAGTAAGTTACATGAGCTGGGTCATTACTGCTCTTGTTGTCTTTGTCCTATTTCTCTAGGTTCCTCCTCTCTCCCCTATGTTTTGATTAGAAATTTCAGCACAGGATGTGTGTTTTGTTACTTCTTGATTGTAATTGTAACAATAGTAGATTGCATTTTAATTGTTTATTTAGAAACAGCTCACTATTTCCCATGGTGAAGGTATCCATGAAATACACACCATATACACATGCACACACACACACACACACACATATACACACAAATGTACATAAAAGGTACATACACTAAATCTCACATAGTAAGTATCTTTAGCACTTAGAATTGTGTTGATCGTTGGTCTCTGACACACTGTTTATATATCTGTAAAAGGGTTTTTTTTTGCCTTGTGTGTGTATGTGTGTGTGTGTGTGTATTTATGGTGTCATAAACACCGTGGAGCACACGTGTGCCTCAGGACTGGACACTGGCAAAAATTGCCCACTCCAGCATGTGGCTTTTTTAGCTCATTCCTTGCTTCCCCCAGCATGAGCTAGTCACTTTTGTGAATCTTGAGCTCATCATGCCCTTTAAAACATAATTTTATTATTTATGTATATTCTTAAGATTATATTGCTTGGTTGGTTATTTTTAATTTTTTAGGAAAGGAAATCATGCTGCCTGTAGTCTCCTAGAATCAACTTTTTTTTCAACAATATTGTATTGCCAAGGGTCAACCATACTGTTGTATGTAGCTGCAGTTCATTAATTTTGAATTCTTCATAATAGTTTATTTTGGACTACTCTAGAATTTACTTATCCATTTGGAATGTTTACAGATTTTTGCTTTCAAGAATAGTACTACTATGAATACTCTTCAGTACATCTTCCCTAGTGCACATATGTACATGTTTCTCTTGAGTACGTACCCACCCATAAGTGGAATTTGGTGGTTGGAAGGTATACAACTATTTAAATTTTTTTTTTTGAGAGGGCATCTCTCATATTTATTGATCGAATGGTTGTTAACAACAATAAAATTCTGTATAGGGGAGTCAATGCTCAATGCACAATCATTAATCCACCCCAAGCCTAATTTTCATCATTCTCCAATCTTCTGAAGCATAATGAACAAGTTCTTACCTGGTGAACAAATTCTTACATAGTGAATAAGTTCTTACATGGTGAACAGTACAAGGGCAGTCATCACAGAAACTTTCGGTTTTGATCACACATTATGAACTATAAAC